CACATCACGTGTATTTTCCATAATCTTTCTATCACTCTATTCTCATGGCTAGCACACTTAATACATTATATTTATCATACTCACTTTTCACTTGAACACATGATTCTGTGTGAAATGACCATTTTGCCCCTATTGAAGCTTTTATGGAATTCCTCTATAAAACTAGTTAAATATATTCACTATGACTATAAAATAATTCCTACCATATTTTTGAATGTGGGTATTATATAGTGTGTCTTTTCTATTTACTTTGTTGAATTCAAGAGTGTCTAACTCGATTTTGTGAGGGGGAGCTGCCTATTTATACCCACTGTGCTCAAGGTAACAATTACATTTTTGCAAGTGGATTGGTGTCGTGCAAATCTTTCATACCTTTCCATTCGTTGAGAACTCAAAGAATATCCTTAAATTAAATAGGGCTTGGACAGGTGTGTGAACCAAATTCATTCATAGGCAAAACTTGAGTTAACTAGGTTGTTGACAGCTATATTCTTTCTGTCTTTGGAGACATGACAAATTCTGGATGGTGAGAAGCCTTTTTGAATTCTGGTTAGTGCTTGCTGACATCAGCATAGGTCAGCCCTTATTTTAGGCATAATAGATATATTTTTCTGACATTGGTATTTGGAAATGAAAAATGAAAATGCATTTGACATATTTGTCTGAAAACAATATTTTAAAATTTTATGTTTATGATTTGAAAACTTGATTGATAATAGAGGTGGGAATTTGGGACCGAGCCCAAAAAACCTACCCCAAAAAAATCAGACCCAGTACCAGACCCAGACTGGCCTAAAAGAGGAGGGATTGGTCCTTGGGTTGGTACCGCTTCTCAGTCCCGGGCCCGGGCCCAAACCCTTCACCCTTATTTCAAAAAGACCCTTGGAAAATATAAAAAACCCTCTGGTTTTTATGAAATAGTCAATAAATATAGGGACTAAAATGATATTTTACAAAAAAAATTATAAAATCAACAATTAAGCAACCAACGGTCATGGGGAGGGGGTAAGGTTTTTTTTTTTTTCACTTTCCCCCCCAAACCTCAAGTATAAATTAACCCCCAAACCTCCATTTTCTTCATTACTCTCAATCTCTCATTCTCTCTACTCCAATTCTCAAACTCTCTTCAATTTATATTTATATTTATTCATATTATTATTTATATTATTCAATTTCATATATTATTCATATTTTATTTATATTATTCAATTTCTTCCATTTTAGTTATTTATTATTTTATCATAAATTCATAATGGATTTCCAAAATTATGCATTCGGAGGATCATCCGCAAATGAGTTTTACGTTTCATCCACCAAAGAAATGAAAATTTTCACACTTTCCAGAGGCAACAATTCCACAACCAGAAACGGTCGGGATTGCGTGTAGCCAAACACAAGCGAGCTGCAACACCACAGGCACGGCAAGACTGTCAAAGAAGGTTGTGTCCTGGGTATGACAATACTTTACCAAATCAAAACGAGCAAAGCCAAATGGGGAGGGGGGAGAAACGTGCGGGGTATGTAATTTTTGTGCAACCATTATCAACACTGAGCACGAGACTTTGATGATGCGGTGGCACTTGGAGAAGAAGCACCCTCAATATATGCAGCCCGAACCGTCCGATTCAATTTCAACCGCACTAGATAGGCAAATTCAAACTCAACTTAATTTTTATCCACAATCCTCAACTCTCTCAGCCTGGCAATGCAATGCACTCAAAGCACGAGAGGCAATACCAAGATACATGGTTGCTACAGACTCTGCTTTTTCTTTATCTGAAAATCCTTATTTTGTTGAAATGATTAAAGATGTTTTTTGTCCAGCATATAACCCTATTAGTAAAGGTATAAGTAGAAGGGACATACTAAAACTTTATAATAAAATAAGAGATCAACTTAAAATAGAATTTGAAAATTTTAGGAATATATATATTGCACTTACTTCAAACATATGGGCTGTTACATCAAAAACAGATGTTTTGAGTAGGGGTGTTCAAAAGAACCGGTAGGAACCGGAACCGACGGGTACCCTGGGTTTGGTTCCGGTTCCTACCCAGAACCAGTCGTCAATGGATAGGTTTCGGTTCCAAATCTTTGGAACCGTTACTGTACGGTTCCGATTCCGGTTCTTATAGTTAGGAACTGGAACCGGAACCAGGAACTAAGACTAATATAAAATAAAATTAAAGATTAGGGGGGTTAATAAAAACTTTTATAGAAAAAGTAATGTGAATACATTTATATTTATATTTCATAACATTTAAAGTAAGTTGGTTTCACTTTTGAGAATCTACCTTTACAAAGTAATGAAGTTTGTAATTTTGAATTTATAATTTGTAATTTTATTTTTGTTAAAAAGTGCCAAGTGGGGGGGTATTTGTAAATTTTTAAGGGTTTTTTTTGCCATTTTAAAAACTTTTGGGGGTTCGTATAATTTTACAGGGTACCCAGAACCGGAACCGGAACCATTGTTACAGGTTCTGGTTCTGGGTACCTAGGAACCGAAACCATCGGTTCCGGTTCTGGTTCCAAATTTCAAGGAACCGTCGGTTTCGGTTCTGGTTCCGGTTCCTTTAAAAAGTGCAGGGTACCCGGAACCGAACACCCCTAGTTTTTAGTGTCACAATACATTACCTAGATCATAGTTGACATTTACAACAAAATTGATAGGTTTTAAACCATTATTTGCTAAACACAGTGCTGAGACAATTTATTTTACAATTATTACAGTTTTGCAAGATTATTTATTAACTGAGAGAATTATGGCGTCAATGCTTGATAATGCAGCTATCAACACCGCGACAGTTTCTTTATTTGAATATCTATTTTACCTTTCTCTCTGTCAATTTTAATGGTCAAAAGTGAAGTTGGGGGTGTTTAGGTAGTTCTTGAAGTTTGTGGCTTTGTTTTAAAAATCGAACCGATCGGTCGGACCGGGACTCGGCAGCTTCTCCGGTCTGGTTCAAGTCTTAGGGTGTTTTTTGTAATATTTCAAAATTATAAGGGTTAATTTGTAATTGTATAGGGGTGTTTTGGAGATATGTCAAAAGTTTAGGGATTAATTGGTAATTTTTAGGGTATTTTTGAAATAAATAAAAATTTTAGGGACTAATTTGAATTTTTTAGGGGAATTTTTGTAATATATTAAATTTGAGAGATTAATAGAAATTTTTAAAAAATAAAATTATTGTCGACGTCATCGGTCCAACTGTCCAACCGGCCTGTCTAACCAGTTGGACCGGTTGACCCGTGACTCAGGCAGCAAAACGGGTTGTCCTCCGGTCCGGGTTTTAAAACAATGGTTTGTGGGGGTTAGGAAGATCTTTTAATTTCAGGGGGTGTAGTTAATAATAACCCTATAATATTTGTCTAATTACCGTAACAAAATCCTGCTTTACTTTGCAATGCAAATGATATTGTAACCTCTATTAAATTTGCTATTTATCAATGTCCATTTGGGCCATTTTTTTTTGAATTGTCTGATTCAAAGGATATTTCAATTGCATCCCGTTTAATTTAGGATTAATGGTTAATTATTAATTAAAGTCCAAATCATATCCAATCCAATAAAGCTTAAAAAGGGGGATAATTTAGGGTCCGTTTGTTACACTCTTGGAATACTATTATTAGTATTCCCAATAAAGTTAAATAGTAAAATTGACTTATTCTCACAATGTTATTCTATATTATTCAATTTCTTTTAAACCCCCTAAATTTATAAATTTAACTAAATACCCCCAAATATTTTTTTTAGAAATTGCAAAAACACCTCAACAACCCATATTTACCAGATTTCGGTCACCACTGCCGAAGATCTGGTCGTACACAGCCAGATCTTTGGCCGTAGTCAGTCGTCAACGACAGCTAAGATATGGTCGTCGTTGACCATCAACGACGGCCGTATCTTTAGCCGTCGTTGACGACCAAATGCGACCAGATCCAGCCATAGATCTAGCCTTTTCTGACCAGATCTACCGTGGATCTGGACGGAAAAGGCCATATCGGCGCACGACTGACAAGATCCAGTCGGTCATGTGTTGATACGATGACTCCAGCCATCCTCCGGCGGTGGTGGTCGGCTGTCCGTATTTAATAGGTGGGTTGGAGGTGTTTTTGTTAACTTTTAATATTTTATTATATGGGTGTTTAGTAAATAAACAAACATAAGGGGTATTTTTGTTAATTTTTAAATTCTATATCGTAATACCCGCCCAATTTAACTTTTTTAAAATATTATTCTAAAAAGTATCAGAATAATGAATCAAACGTGACCCTTAGTATTTGCCCTTTTTCCAATGAAAACCTCATCTTTACACATAGTTAATGTGGGTGACTCAGAAAGCAGTTAAAACTTAAAAGTGTTACATTTTGGCAAATAGTGATGCACCTTGACTTCTTTTGGTTATTACCAAACAAACATTACATGTAATGCAACCAGGCAAAACTTTTGGTTTTCTATGGGCCATAACTTGAAGCTGTTTTTGTTTCACTCTCACAACCCAAAATCTTTTTGTTGGTTAATGGTGGATACAGGAACATCTCGAAAAGTTATTCGTAATACAGAATCTTAAAAGTTTGAAACTTAAACCAAAAATTTTAGAAATAGTGATAATAAGATGAAAGAAAGTTCTCGATTTTCTTCAAGCGATTGAATTCCATTTCAACAAGTTAATATGATTGGACTCTACAATGGCTGTGCGGCCTGGCCTTGTAAAGAGACATGTATAGAAACACGTGTATGGCTGTGCTTGTAGCATGCTAATGACCAGTCATATTGCCTTACCAATACTCTCAACCAACGGTTGATGCGTATGTTCTTCTCTGTTACACTACACATGGATTCATAATATGAATGTTTTTAGGGCATTAGATTTTGTTTCTGGATATGAATATAATCTCCTTTTTCATTTAATTTGCAGTCACAATGCTTTAGCTTTACCAATTCCATTGCATGTAGCCATGTACCACGTACCAAAACATGTATAAATCTCATGGGATCGGAAGCTCCAAAAGTACACATATTTCATTGATCATTACAAATACAAGATACATACAATATTATATATACTGGAGCATACTTACATTCATTTAAATGGAAAATTACACATCATCTGTAATCAAAGAATCATGACTAGAAATATCCTCCACAGTTCCAGAAGGCCAAAATTTAGTCTTTCCACCTTCTGGAAATGCAGGTGATGACAGTTAAATGTATGGCTCTGCTCTTACCTTTACTCATGAGAATCTCATCCGAGACGAAATCCAAGGATGACAGCAAAATGTATGAAGCGCAAGACAAAATTGTGAATACACACAATGAGATGCGGAAATACTGTATTAAATAGTAGCCGGTTAGAGTATTCGGCCAAGCCACTCTTAAGAGCTTTAGCAGAAACTAGTACTGGCTTGCAGGATTGCCTATGATTCTTGAAGAATTAAATTCAATTCTGAAGCACATTTTGCCAGCAAACCACCCCTCCTGTAGCAAAACCGGCAGAAAACAATTTTCAGATCATTGATGAAAGACAAAAAGTTTTAAACAATTCTTGCTATTTCAAAACACATAGAACACTTAATACACAAACTGCATCATTGAATACTTAATACTACAGGAGAATTCCCCAACTCATGCAGGACTTACAATTCATTAGCATACAAGTTCATTTCCGGTAAATTATTAGATTTGAATGATTTACTTAATTCTAGAAGTCATTTAGAGTTTTAATAGCTTGAGCTTCGAGCATCAACATAGTGTAATTAGGTGAAGTCAACAGACTCATAGTGATCGAACCAGTTCAGTAAGGAGCACCTTCTCTTTTATTGGTACCCTTTTCAGCCTACAACTCAAAGACAGCAAACTTACCTTACAAGATCTGGAAGAATTTTCTGGACCTTCTGAAGATGTACAAAACATTGCTTGCAGCATTCTCGCCTGAATGCAAATATTCAAAGAAGAGAATTACACAGACAATAATTCACATTAACTCAAGGTATCAAGAAATTGTAAGGTAAATAACAGAAGTAATATTAACTAAGATACCTTTGCTCTAAGTGAAGATCAACACCTACAGCGGGAGGTGCTGAAACGGTTGAGTGTATCATTGGACCAAATACTGCTACAAGCTTCAGAAGCATCTCCAATGAGATGCTTGCATGCCTGTAATTTCCAACAAAAAGGAATGGCTTTAAGGATAATTAGCCAATTTGAATTTAGTGCACCATTGGAAAAAGAACATATCCCTTCAATTCCGTAACACGTGGTCAAATAAGTGATATTTATAAGTAAAATGTTTACCCAACTAATCCAGAAAACATAAGTGAGAACAAGAACAAGATGGTCAAAATTCTATGGTATATTAGAACCCCTAGCATTACAAGTGCACAAGCTTACAAATGTACCTTTCCATCTTGCTGTCCAGTAAACCCACAAGCACAGGAAGCAAGCACAAAAATAAATCTAAGTTGAGAGTCTCCATTTTCTCCATCAGGATACTGATAGTATCAGCTTGCACCTGTTCAAGGATCAATTAAATCTTAGGAAGACCAAATAGGTGCATAATAAACCACTAGAAAACCAATTCTAACCATCAGAAACAGAATAAGCAAACTACTTGAATACTTCCACCGAATACTTACAGAATGATCTGGCAGCTTCATCATGGCACCAATAGCACCTTTAACGTCATTTCTTTCCCAAAAATGTCGAACCACCTGCAAGTAAAATTACAACTAGTATCATACCATTTCTAGCTAAGTAGAGGAACAATAATTGTCCACCTTCACTAAATAATAAACATGAGTGACCAGCAAAAATCACCTGTAATTTGGTCAAGCGAGACCGAAGAGTACTTATGAATACATCATGAGTTTGCATCAAATTTTCAATAACTTCCCCATCATTTGCAGAGGTTGTATCCCTTCCTGGAATTTGCGGTTCTCGACTCTGTTGAATATCAAACATGAAGTGAAATTGTATACACGTCAGGTATCTAAATGTCTCAAAAGACATTCGCCAAACCTTTTAAGAAACATTTTCAAGAGATTATAATGTTATCTGATTGGAAACTCTTTTTAAGCTTTCATTACAAAACTTCAAAAACACAAAAGTTTCATGAAGGCGATTATTTTTCAGAAATGGAAAACAATTTCTACAGCTGAAATAATTTTCTATAACTATGCTGGTTACAGAAACAGAAGGCATTCAGATAGTCTAAATTATCCTGTGCCTGAATTGAATAGATTGTTGGGGATTGCCCCAAGCGGCTTATCAAAAAAACCATGATGATTTGAAGATTCATACAGAAACAAGTCCTGACAGTGAAAATTTCATCAGTTTATACATAGTGTCCATATTGACTTGATGAGATGCAGACCTTAATTAAGTTGTAACTTTTAACTAGAAGCTTTAATGCCTAAGAATCTTGCGTTCAAGTTTTTACTAATGAACAAAATTATGCTAAAACTTAAATTTTAACCCAAGTAAAGAAAGAAATATTTACAGATGTGAAGAGAATAATTTTTTTTTTTTTTTTTTTTTAATTTTCAAGGAGGCCAGAAACCTACCAGAATGGTGGGTCTTTCGTCAGCTTCAACCATCCTGTGAGAGCTTAGAATAGTTGCTTGCTCTCCATTGTTCTTGTATCTCACATGAGGAGCAGCATTAGTTGCCTTCTCGTCATTGTTCTTAAATCTCATGTAAGGAGTTGTATTAGTTGGTTTTTAGTTATTTATTATTTATCATAAATTCATAATGGATTCCCAAATTATGCAATCAAAGGATCATCCCCAAATGAGTTTTATGTGTCATCCATCGAAGAAATGGAAGGGTTCGATCCATTTTCACCATTTCCAGAGGCCGCAATTCCACAACCAGAAGGTCGGGACTGCGTGCAACCAAACAAGCGAGCTGCGACACCACAGGCATGGGTAAGACCATCAAAGAGGGTCATGTTGGGGTATGGCAATACTTCACCAAATCAAAACCAGCAAAGCCAAAGGAAGGGGGAGAAACGTGCAGGGTATGTAATTTTTGTGTAGCCATGATCGACATTGAGCATGGGACTTCGACGATGCAGGGACACCAAGAGAAGAAGCACCCCCAATATATACAGCCCGGACCATCTAGTTCAACTTCAACCGCACCCAGTAGGCAAATTCAATCTCAATTAATTTTAATCACGATCTTCAATTTCTCAGCCTGAAATACAATGCACTCAAAGCACAAGAGGCAATAGCAAGATACATAGTTGCTAAGGACTCTCCTATTTTTTATTTGAAAATCCTATTTTGTTGAATGATTAAAGATGTTTTTTGTCAAGCATATAGCCCTGTTAGTAAAGGTACAAGTAGAAGAGACTTACTAACTTATAATAAAATAAGAGATAAACTTAAAATAGAATTTGAAAATTTTAGGAATATATCTATTGCACTTACTTTAGACATATGAGCTACTAGATTAAAAACAGATTTTTTGAGTGTCAATACATACCTAGGTCATAGTTGGCATTTACAACAAAAATTCATAGGTTTTAAACCATTATATGCTAAACATAGCATTGGGACAATTATTACAATTATTGAAGTTTTGCAAGATTATTTATTAACTAAGAGAGTTTTGGCGCTAACGCTTGATAATGCAGTTGCCAACACCGCGACAATTTCTCTATTTGAAAAGAGATTGGATCGCATGGTGACGACAAATTTTTTTCACCAGAGATGTGTTGTCACATCATCCATTTGATTTTTTAAGCAGGTTTAGAGCTATACATTCAAGGATTGAAAGGGTGCGCAAGGCTATCGAATTCATGCCAGTAGCAATACAAGATGGATGAGTACGTTAAATAGTACGCCAAAAGGAGCCGCTGATTCGACCAAAGAAGTTATATATGGACATGCCTATCCATTGGAACTCCATGTATATGATGTTGCAAAGAGCTAGCCAACCACAAAAAAACAATTACAGAGTTCAACCAGAAGAACATCCAAACAAAGTCATTAACGATGATGATTGGACATTTGCAATGTTTTCTTTCATTCTTAAAGTTTTTTATGATTCTATTAATACATTAGGTGGTATTTATTATCTTATTACTAATATAGCGTTAGATATTTTACTTCAAATTTCTAAAACTTTTGCTAAACATAGATATGATGCAAATAAGTGACATTGTTTTAAAAATAGAACAAAATACCGGAAATATTAGTTAGATATTCCATTATTGGATTAGCTCTTATTGTAGATCCTAGGTTTAAATTACACATATTAAATATATGGTACTAAGATGGGCCATCATTTATATTAGACTATAGTTCTTATTTGATATACTTTAACAGAAAATTAGAAAGTCTTTTTTCTTTATATTAGACTAGGTAAATGAAATGCCCAGTGCTAGCAGAGACGACAAGGACCTTGATGAAGCATTTATCAACAAGGATCGAGCATGTGGACATATATGGAACATGGTGGAAGTAGCAGCTCCAACTCGTTCAGACATGGACCAAATGAGTTGTATCGTTACCTACAAATGGACATATCCTACAAGACGAAGAAGGAGAAACGTGAGATGGATCTGCTTCAATAGCTCAAGTTATGATCAAAACATTGAAGCATGCTCATTTTGAAGAATTTCCAGGTTTTAAGTCTCATTTTCAAGTATCATAGCTTCCTCATTTCAATTCTGATTCTTGCCTTATTTGTTCTAATCGTCACAAATTTCATCAACATCCTCCTTCTTCATTCAAACATTATTTATAACTTGAAAATACTCCAAATACACTCGTGATCCCATAAGAGGTATTTATGAATAATTAACTCAAAATTTGCAATTTAAATTAACTTTCACACAAATACTCTAAATAAATCACTAACTAAACACGAATTTTCAAGCTCTTATTATTTTCCCAATCTGCTTGAAAAACACTCAGTTAACGAGGCGTGTTGGTTGCTCTAGCGTTTTTCAGATCGAAGGACATGACTTTGTAGCATACAATTGCCGATCTGTGATGAACGAGGTGTGCTTCCTGTTGGGCATGAACATCATAATCTGATTGTATCCCGAATATGCATCCATGAAGCTCAGCAGCTCGTGTCCGAAAGTGGCATCAACGAGCTTGTTGATTATGGGCAAAGGAACTGTCCTTGAGGCAAACCTTGTTGAAATTCGGGAAATCAACACAAGTTCACCATTTACCATTGGTTTTTTTTCACCAAAACATGATTGGCGACCTAATTGGGTAATAGGCCTCCCGTATGAACCCAATTGAGAGGAGCTTGTCCACCTCACTTTTAAGAGTCGCATAGCACTTTGGGTCCATGCTCTTCTATTTGGGAAAACTAGTTTATCTCATTATCGAGTTAAGTGCATGACATATGATTTCAGGGTTGATCTCAATTATATCAGCATGTGTCCATGCAAAAACATCAATGGATGTCTGTGGAAGCTCGTTTAATTGGCTGTGAGCTAAGGGTTGAGATTACTCCTGATTTTAGGCATGAGTTGGCTCATGCTCCGATAGGTACCTTAGACAAAGTTTCAACTAGCCCACTATGGGTATACTTTCCTGAACACAAGGATCAATGTTATCTTCTACTAGGTCAGGCTGTGGCTCAATCTTGTGATCATCATGTCTGCTCAGGCTTGCCCTCGGGCTTCCTTTCCCCTTACATGCAATTTGGACTACTTGATTGTAGTAGTCGCGAGATTACTTTGTGATCCCCTAACTTCCCCACACCTTATCGGAGTGGGAACTTCATCTTTTGGTGGTATATGAAAGTGATAGCTTGAAGTTCCGCAATAGAGGTCGGTCCAAGAATGCCATTGAATGTTGAAGGACAATCCACTGCTAAAAATTCTGTCATTTTGGTCACTTTGGGGGATCGCCCAAAGTGACTGGAAGAGTTATCATTCCTCGGGGAGTAGATGGGCTCCGATAAAATGTAAAGAGGAGTAGCTACAGGCTTCAGGTCTATCTCTTCCAGCTTCATCTGTTTAAGGCTCGTTGAAATAGGATGTGTAAAACTACTGAAAACTAGGACAATGCATGCATAATAACAATATAAAATTGGGCCCCAAAAATTTCTTTTCATTAGAAATCATATGTTTTTATAACAAAGATTACTGTTTACAAAAATGCATTTTAAAGACAAAACAGGGGAAAACAGTGTAGCTATTCCTCTTCGCTTGCCGACGCCCCTGACTGCGTCATCACCTAGAACCTGCATCCACAAAGGAAAATAACGGGTGAGCACAAAATAATGCTCAGTAAGTAAAACTCTGTCTGTCTGTCCCGTAAGAACAACTTTAATTCTTTCCTTACCCTATTTCTGATTCTATCTCTGTTCTACTAAACACATGGCCTCATCTTACCGGAGGTACGGCCGGATGGCGTTCACACAGCACCATCTCGCTCTCAATGGCTATCGGGTGGATTCACAAAGTACCAACCCGTTCTTAGTGACTACGAGTGAGGATCACAAAGCACCAACTCGATTCTTCCTAACTATCGGGTGGAGATCACCTAGCACCTACCCGTTCCTCATAAATTGGGTAACGTCACCAAGCATTTACCCGTCTCTAGTCACTATGGGTGATGATCACAAAGTATCACACCCTCCGCTTCTACAACGTTGGATGATGATCACAAAGCATCAACCCACTATCCAATAACTAATCGGAAGTGATCACAAAGCATCTACCCCATCTCTATTACTCATTGGGTGACGGTCACAAAGCATCGACCCATCTCTAGGGGCTATTCGGATGATGATCACAAGCATCAATCCGATTCCCATAACGGTGGGTGATGATCACAAGCATCCCACTAAACTAAACTCTTCTAATTCATTTATTGTAGCATTTTCAATGCTCTCTACCCTTAGAGTAATTGCATCCACCAAGCTCTCTATAGGGTAATTGCATACACAAGTTTCCTACCCTTTCTTAGGTCACTTTACAATGCACCATTAGTGCCTATGGATGGTTCTCTCCACTAATGCAATTTGAAATGCCACATGCAATGTTGCAAGAATTAAGGTTTACTACTTACACTCAAACCTCTATTAGGCATTTCATCAAACAACTCATGTGCACTATAAAACTCTATTATAGCAATGATTCTAAAACCTTTTCTCACCATCCAAAATGGGGAAAAACCCTTCACAAAGTCATAAAAACCTGTCAAAGAAAGCACTTCCAAATAGGGTTCCATAACACCCCTTCAATTCCATCTCAACTACCTTGCCAACCCAACAATTCATTTCTCATATTTGCAAGGTGTAAACATTACAAAGCATGAAATCCTATTTAAGCCTTCACACATGGGATTACTGTACATCACATACATACAATTTCTATCAAAACCCTAATCAGAGATTAATAATCTCAACTTGGGTTGGGTTTTACTTACCTTGTTATGGAGGACTTCACAAATTCTTCCTTTCACTTGTTTAGCTTGACTTCCCTCTAATCTTAACCAAAGAATGAAAAACCCTAAACTTCAATATGGGTTAAAACTCCAAATCACACAACTTAAGTAGAGATTCTTACCTAGGAAGCCTTAGGTTGCTTTTCTACCTCAAATCACTTCAAAAACCCCTTGGAATCCTTGATCAAAAGAGAAGAGAAGTTGAGAGGAAGAAGAATGAAGAGTTGCGTTTGAGAAGAAGAAATGAGGGGTTTGTTAATTCTAATTCCTTTAGTGAAATTTTAACCA